TTTGAACAATAACCCCAATCTGGGGAAAAGGGAAAAATGGTACTACAATGCCAGTTTCAAGTTGCTTTTTTACCTTCAGGACAAAAATTAGAGTAAGGGACAGTTTTTGTTTGTTTGTTTGTTTTAAGGGATAGTTTTAAATTATTAAGTTATTTGCTGCTCTTGTCAAACTTAGAATTATAAGCAACCTCAAAGATCATCTAGTTCAACCCATGCATTTGGAAAGTAAGGCTAAATTACATAATTATTCAAGAATATGTGCTTGATTCTACATATCCAATGTCTTCTCCATAGGAAGTTATAGTTGGTCACCCCTGCCTTCTTGAATTTTTGTTTACACCGTACACACTCTCCTGATTTTCCTCTGATCTTAGTCTTCCTTGCAGGATACTCCTCATCTTTCGCACCTGTATATATGAGATGTTTTCAGGGCTTAGTCCTTGGTCCTCTTCTATTAATATCTATACTTACACTTTAGGTGATCTCAACTGGTCTCATGGTACTAAATATCATCTACATGCTGATGGCTCCCAGTTTGTATCTGTTGCTCTGATCCTTTTACTGAACTGGATATCCAGCTGTCCACTTGACACCTTCATTTAATTATCTAATAAATACCTTAATCTTAACATGTTCAACCTGAATTCCTGATTTTCTTCCATGTCCAGGACAATTCACGCTCATTCCATAATCTTTTCCATGTGATCCACTGCTCACCAGTTGCTCAGGTCAAAATCCTTGCAGTCATCCTTGATATTCCTTCTGTCATACACCCCGCCCATTAGCAAATGCTGTTTTTTCTTTATCTTCAACAGATTTCCCAAATCTGACCACTCTGACCACCTACACAAATCTAGCCTAATCAATTAACTTCCTAATTAGATCTCTGTTCTCTCTGCTCTTCATCTTGCCCTTCTCCCCCGGAGTACTCTTCCGCATGCATCCAGAAAGTCTTTAACATAAGGCCTTGCATGATCAGGACCTTACTTGCTCTCCTGTGTCATTTTCTACCAACTCTCTCTTCATGCTGCTCCAGCTGCTCTGGGCTTTTTGATTTTTCCCACACACCAAGTTCATTCCTGCGATGGGATCCCGGCACCTGCTGTTCTCTCCAGAATGCTCCTCTTGCATGGCTGATTCCCTCACTTGTTAGGCTTCTGTTCACGTCACTCACAGGAGCCTTCCCCCAACACTACCTTGATCTAAAATAAACCCCTGTCATCACTTTCTATCCCATTTATCCTGCTTTATTTTTCTTTAGAGAACTTATTACTATCTGACATCGTATTACAAATGTATGTCTTCATTGTCTATCCACAAGGGCAGGAATTTTGTCTGTTTTTTCACTGTTAGAGCAATGCCTTGCACATCTTAGGTATTCAATAACTAGTGACTAAATACATGACCAAGTATTTGGCCCTTTGAGTAAGTGGCCTCCTCTACATGCAGACAGAGAAAGATCATTCTGCTTAGAAGGTGCTGACAACCCTAAAGTGGTTTCCATTTTTATGCAGATGATCCTAATTGCTTCTGAAGCACTCTTAAAAGAAACGTGAGTCCGTTTTTGTTCTCATAGCACCTACAGTTGCCATGTTCTCACTTTTGGTTGCATTGTTTTTATTTTCTTAATCTCTGATCTTGGTTATTAATAGGACAGTCAGCAAAGATTTTATCTGATCAATACAGCACAGGATACCCGTATGTTGGTAGAGTCAAAGAATGCTGTAGACCTAAATGTTACAGTGAATCCAGTTAAAATTCTACCAGCCTGGGCAACATGGCAAAACCCCATCTCTACAAAAAATACAAAAATTAGCCAGGCATGAGGCACATGCCTGTAGTCCCACCTACTGGGAGGCTGAGGACAGAGGATTGATTGAGCCCCGGAGGTCGAGGCTGCAGTGAGCCATGATCATGTCACTGCACTCCAGGCTGGGTGAGTGATCAAGACTGTCAAAAAATAAAAGAAAGAAAGAGAGAGAGATAAAGAGAGAAAAAGAAAAGTAAATTTTAAGTTTATACCTTTTAAAAAAGGCAACTTAAAAATCAGTAAGTTTTAATTTTTAATAAGATAAATAATTTATTCTATCAAACATCGCCAATGTCAACATCATTTCTAACTTTTCAAAGTACATAGCATAAACCATAAAAGTTGTCTTACTGAAATTAAATCTTCGTGAGAGATGGTTTTAATAGACTGGGTTTTTAGCAGTGAAGTTAAAGAATGATAGTTTAGTATACAGAAAGAAGCAGTTAAGGTGACACTTAGTTCTTCATGATGCACTGTAAGCACAAATTGGATATCATATGATAAGTAAAAAGGATGGCCCTTCTGGGCAAATAAAAATTAAATAGGTCCTCACAGTGATATGCAGTCTCCAAATATCATCTGTCTAATTTCTCTCTCTCACCCAAGATAAAAAGTTAAGTTGAAAGATTAAAACCTACCTCCTTGTTACTATTTCACAAATAACACAGATAGTACCACATTAGTGACTAAAATCCAGATATTTTCCTTTTAGATAAAGTCATATACATGGTAAAATACTTATTTTTTAAGAGAATCAATAAAGCTATATTCATTTTCAGTAGAAAATGTGACTCATAAACACTTTTGTTTCTCTGAAATTGCCTCTCAGGAAAAAACGTGATCCTTACTATTGATCTAAGAGAAATCTGCATGAAGCAATGCTGTAGTTTATGCTTTTTTTTTTTCCTGGAAGGTGGTGGGTGACCTCTGGAGGCAACTGGAAAAAATATCCTGCTGCTTTCAAAAGTGAAGTGGGGAATGAAGAATTAGAAAGTAGAGCTTTCCATTTATAGAAGGTCTTTTTTTACCTTTAGTCAGGGAGAATTAAAATATTTAATTTTAAAATGGCTTTACTGAACCTCAATTCAGTTAGGTAATAAATCGATTCTGTTAGGTAATAGTTATTAAGTATGTAATACAATGTTAGGGGAGAGACATATAACACTAACAGTTTCAATCTCATTGAGTTTATAATCTACTAAGGAACTGAAGATAAGTGCTAAAAGAACACGAGGTAAAACCTGTGACAAGATTTAGGAGCAGCACAACTAAGTAGGAATTAGTGAAACTAAACCAGCGTCAAGACTGAAAGGCAGGTCAGAAAAGACTGACACCAAAGTAGGTTTTTTGTTCTGTTTTGTTTGTTTTTTTTTGTTTTTTGGTTTTTTTTTTTAAACATGGATTCTCCAAAGATAGGTAGAAAACGTCCTGGTTTGGCGTCATTAGTCTACTTCAGCCCCTCTCTTACTGATTACAACTAAAAGACTCATGACAAAACACAAATGGCAACTGCCTGCAGACTCTGAAAAGTAAATAAAGAATTGAGGTAGGGAGTCAAAACTTAGAAACCTGCAAGGGGATGAATTTCCTGGCTTTTTTTTTTTCTTGTGGTTTGTCCTGAGGAGACCCCAGTTGGGAACTGTCGGGTGGCATGGGTAGCTAAAACTCGAATAAAAATCCCATGTTTCTGTGCTGAAAGGAAAGAACTGTTAGCCCAGAACTCTATTTTCAGTGAAAATATTTTCGGGAAATAAAGACATTCTCATATGAAGGAATGCCAGCTGACCTGCTCTAAAATAAATGCTTGGCGGGCTGGGCGCGGTGGCCCACGCCTGTAATCCCAGCACTTTGGGAGACCGAGGCGGGCGGATCACGAGGTTAGGAGTTCGAGACCAGCCTGGACCAACATGGTGAAAACCTGTCTCTACTAAATACAAAAATTAGCCGGGCATGGTGGCGCGCGCCTGTAAATCCCAGCTACTCAGGAGGCTGCGGCAAAAGAATCGCTTGAACTCAAGAGGCGGAAGTTGCAGTGAGCCAAGATGGCATCATTGCACTCCAGCCTGGGCGACAGAGCGAGACTCCATCTCCAAAAAAAAAAAAAAAAAAGTTAAGAAAAGAAAGAAAGAAAAAAGAAATGCTTGGAGGGGCATGGTGGCTCATACTTGTAATCCCAGCACTTTGGGAGGCCAAGGCAGGCGGATCACTTGAGGTCAGGAGTTCAAGACCAGCCTGGCCGACATGGTGAAACCTCGTCTCTACCAAAAAGTGCCACAGCACTCCAGCCCGAGCGACATAGGCTCTGTCTCAAAAAAGAAAAAACAAAACAAAACAAAACAAAAAAGCGGGGGTGCAGGTGGGGGGAAGACTTAATGACTGAATGAATAAGTCTGGAGAGACGGGTTGCAAGGAATGATGAGACTGTTTTGTAGTCTGGGAGCCCAAGTGGATGAAAGCTGGAAGAATCAGGTGGAAAAGAACATTTCCAATGGACGGCAAAGAAAAGTATATAACATTTTGAGGCTGTGGTCCGCTTTGTTAAAGAGCAAAAGGAAACAATTCCTCAAATCGATGCCACGCTCCACTTCTTTACAACGATGGAATTATTTCAGGAATTGGAATTATTTCAGGAATTGTGTTTGAAACCTCAGCTTTGGATCCCGATTTCTTTCTTGAGCTACTGTTACACTGTTTATATATGGCCACTAATTCGATGACTGAGCTTGGGCAAATTGTTAATTATTTTCTATGACTTAATCTTTCTATGCGTACAACGGGGATAACGTGGAATTTGGGGTGTTATGAGGGTTAATTGAGATAATATACGTGATAACTTACACAATGACGTTCAACAAATACTTGTGGAGTGAAAGATGAGTGACTCATCGACAGATCTCAGGGATTTCAGAAAGCTGTATAAGGACCAGATCTTCAGGCTCCCTCCGCTCCCCAGGAGACCGGGGAGCCGGCGGGAGGAGCTACGGTGCAATTCTTGGCCCATTTTCCTCATAGCGGTTTGGCGCATTTTTACCTCTTGATTCTCTGGTCCCAGGCTGCAGCTTCAGCTCGCTCCGCCATGGGGCGCAAGTCCGCCAGCCTCTGTGGGCTCAGCTAAGTATGATGCCTAGGCTAGAGAGCCACGTCCGGTCTCTTAGGCAACCATATCAACTTCCGGCTTGAGGCGCGATCCCTGTTGGCGAGAGGCCACATTTCCGCCACGTGACCCGCGCATGCGCCTGCTTGCTGGAGCGCTAGCGTCCGTTGATCCGAACACCTGCTGAGTTCGGAAGTTCGCCTTCTCTGCCCCGGCTCGGGGCGGTACGCTGGGAGGTGGCGCCCGGAGGGACAGCCGTGCCTCGGGGCGGGGCCGGTGCTCGTCTCGGAGCTCCAGAGGTTCCGCTGAGAAGCACGGCGGCAGCAAGACGACTTCTCCGGAGCCGACGAGCTGGAGTTGGAAGTGGAGCTCCGTGGGGCCGGGCCCCCGGCTGCGGGGCAGCGGCTCCTGCAGGCGGAGGCCCCGGCGGAGAATGAGCCGGAGCCGGAGGTGGTGGTGGTCTCCCGGCAGAGCGGTGCCACCGGGAGCATGCTGCGATGGTTCACCACCTTGATGCTGTTTGCTTCCTTCCTGGGGCTGGTGAGAGCCGGTTCTGCAACCCTCCCAGGCCGGGACGTTCGAGTCTCGCCTTCGCCACTTGCAAACTGACCTTAGGCGTGTTACCTAACCTGTCTGGACCTCAGTTTCATCATCTGGAAATTGGGCACAATTCTAATCTTGGAGGGTTGTTGTCAAGTGCAAAATAGATTTTCTGAATACGTTTTTCAGCTCCAGCAAGGGTTTTTTTTTTGTTTTTTTTTTTTGTTTGTTTGTTTTTTTGACGGAGTCTTGCTCTGTTGCCCAGGCTGGAGTGCAGTGGCGCAATCTCGGCTCACTGCAACCTCCGCCTTCCGGTTCAAGCTATTCTTGTGCGTCAGCCTTCCGAGTAGCTGGGATTACAGGCGCCTGCCACTAAGCCCAGCTAATTTTTGTATTTTTAGTGGAGACAGGGTTTCGCCATATTGGCCAGGGTGGTTTCGAACTCCTGACCTCAAGTGATCCTCCCGCCTCTGCCTCCGAAAGTACTGGTATTACAGGCGTGAGCCACTGCACCCGGCCCAGCAAGCCTTCATACGGCTCCTTCGTGGAATGGGAAGGTTGCAAGAAGGGTTGCCCAGGTCTTTGGCCGCTGCTCTGCGCACCCACCCACTCAACCCCCAAATTATTACACAGAAAAACTACTTTTCTGGAATTTCTTCCTGGTAGTCTAACCAAATTCAGCCAACCGCTTAATTTTGCAGATAAGGAAATAGGCCCGGAGGGGAAAGTGACTTTCTGGATCACACAGCTGGTTAAGTGATAGAGCCAGAAATATGTGTCTTACTCTGCCCGCAGTCCTATTTATTAATAAAACCAACCTTGAGATTCTTAAATGTTTTTCTTGGAGCAAAGGGCAAGCCTAGAAGCGCCTTTTGCCAAACGCCTGGGCCGCCGCTCAATTCACTTTTTGGAAACCTTATCACTTAATAATTATGATCCTGGGGGAGTTGAGAGGATGAGTCCTCCCAAGAGTCTTTTGTGGTCACTTACCATCTCAGGGACTCTGAGCTACAATTGTTTCTTAGAGTATTTTGATTGGGGGCGGTGGGTAGGGGTGAAGAAGGAAATCACTTCGGACTTTTGGTGAGTTGTCACTGACTGTCAGGTCCTGTTGTAAATCCTTTGAAAACATTAATTTGATTAGATTCTGTGCTCAGGCTTCTCTGGAAGTACTAGGTGCTTGCTGTGCACCTGGGCCCACGTTGGTCCTTAGTCTTGGACTGTTACGGGTTGGGCAGGGGCGCACCCCATGCATTTAGAGCAGAGCAGGGCAATTAGAATCAGTTATTCTGGAAATGTAGACTGATTGGAAACATTTTTTTCTCTAAGTGTCCAGTGAATTTCCTCTGAAAGTCAACGGTAATCCTTAGTTCTTGCTGACACTGCATTGTCTTTGAGTAAAGTTTTATTGTTAGAGTCATTCTATATTTGGGCGTGTAATATTTTCTAAGCAACCTTTACTGACTGTAATTCTGATGGCTTGGAAGAAAAGTGTGGATTTAGAAACATTTAAATTGTTTATCTCCTGTATGTTTTATATGTGTAGTTCAGGGGAAGAACCCCATGTACATCCAGAAGTATTGCTGTTTAACAACATAAAAAACAGGAATCATATTTTGATGTTTTGATCAATGTTTTGATGTTTTCCAGTGGCTCAGTCAGAACTCAGCTATAGTCTCGACCTCAGGGCTTAAGCGATCCTTCCATCTCAGCCTCCCTAGTAGCTGGGACTACAGGCATGTGGCACCACGCCTGACTGATTTTTTTATTTTTATTTTTGTAGAGATGGTTGCCTAGGTTGATCTCAAAATCCTGAGCTCAAGCAATCCTACCACCTCTCCCTCCCAAATTGCTGGGATTACAGGCGTAAGCAACCATGCCTGACTTAATTTAATTAATTATGATTTTTTTTTTTTTAAGACAAGAGTCTTGCTCTGTTGCCCAGGCTGGAGTGCAGTGCTGCAGTCTCGGCTCACTGCAACCTCCGCCTCCCATGTTCAAGCGATTCTCCTGCCTCAGCCTCCCAAGTAGCTGGGACTACAGGCACCCACCACCATGCAGCTAATTTTTGTATTTTTAGTAGAGATGGGGTTTCACTGTGTTAGCCACGCTGGTCTCAAACTCCTGACCTAGTGATCCGCCTGCCTCGACCTCCCAAAATGCTGAGATTACAGGCATGAGCCACCGTGCCCAGCCAATTTAAATTTTTAACACCCAAATTCTTTCTTGTGCATGTAGTGTATTTCAAAATATACAAAACCATTTCAAGAATAGTTTTAATACATTTTATTAATACAGAGTAGTATTTTAAAGGTATTGTTCAGAAAGGAAACAGGATTGCAACAAAAAAAATTTTTTTTTAAATTGAGTGGTGTCAAAACTTAAAAAAAAAAAAGAGAATTTTAGTCAAAACTGAAAAAACAGTAGTCTAATTCCCTATATCACGTTGTAAATCCCAGACCCTCCACCCCTTTTTTTATAGTGGAAGAAACTACCACATAGTCAGACATTATTTTAATAAGTAAAAACTTCTGTCTTTTTAAATTTTAGGGATTGAGTGTTGCTATCGTGGGACCCACGTTTCAAGATTTGGCAACAAACGTGAACCGAAATATTAGTAGCCTGTCTTTCATTTTTGTGGGTCGTGCCTTTGGATATTTGAGTGGCTCTGTGATTGGTGGATTGCTTGTTGATGTCATGAATTACTTTTTACTTTTGGGTAAGTAAATGCCAATTTTAGCTTGTTTATGACTGTCGGGGAATTTACAAGTTGTCCTTGAAAATATGAAAATACTAGCATGCAGAATGGTTGGCAACTGAAATGGGTAGTGTTTAGGTGTTCTCAATGGCAGTTGAGTTTCCCTGGTACCTGCTTTCACCTTGACAGAGGGAATCTGTGCTGGGGCCCTCTGGAAATTTCGATTAGCTCTAGAATGTGTTAGCAATCCTTAGCCTTCCCAACCACTGTAATTTAGATACCACTCCTGGATCACACACTGATTGTCCAAAAAACTCTGCTTATCAGGGTTTAGCGCAGATTTCCTGGGGTCACCGCAGATTAGAATGAGCTCCTTGAACCTGCCCAGGCTACACCCTGGATTGGGAATGAAGAGGGGAGGGGGGTTGGGTGGACTGATGTAGGCTATGTTTTTGTCCCTGCTGCCCCATGTTGTCGTTGGACAACCCCAGAGTGCTCTGTCTCCCCCTGGAAATAGATGGCAAAGTTTTTTTTTTTTCGAGAGAGTCTCCTCTTCCTCTGTTGCCCAGGCTGAAGTGCAGTGGTGCGATCTCTGCTCACTGCAACCTCCACCTCCTGGGCTCAAGCAATTCTCCCATCTCAGCCTCCCAGTTAACTGGGACCACAGGTGCATGCCACCATGCCTGGCTAGTTTTTGTATTTTTAGTAGAGCCAGGGTTTTACCTTGCTGCCCAGGTTGGTGTGGAAGTCCTGAGCTCAAAGGATCAGCCTCCCAAAGTGTTGGGATTACAGGTGTGAGCCACCACACCTGGCCTGGCAAAGCTTTTAACATATACCTTTTTTGAATAAATTGGAATATTTAGAGAAAATTTAGATTAATATGATAAAATTCTTTGGAAGCAAGAATAATAATTTGTTATTGTAATTAATAAATAATCCCTCTTATTTCCAAAGTGGGTTGAAAGAACGTATTTCTTGTATTTTCCTCTCTACTTCCCAAACTAATTTATTTAGTAAATTTTACTACAAACTGCTGTAGTAATTGCATTTTATTTTTGTCTTTTTAATTTTTTTCCTCATGTCTAAAAATTCCTGATAGGTTCTTAAATGTGAGTCATTTAAATTAATTTTGGCTTCTCTCTGTTGGTATAAAACTTGGCCTTATGGTATAATTTACAGTTTGATTACTAGCAGTGCTGGAAATGTATTTGTGTTATAATTATTTAGATTTCATAATCCATAAAGATTATAAAAGATTCTAATGAAATAACCACTTTTAGAAGCAAAAACTCTGATCTACTCATTACCTAATTTAAATTTGACCTGATTTTGCATGTTTGGACATTTATGATGTTGACTTGATCTATGACTGCCTGGATATTATTTTTTATAGCTGACTTTCTACCTTCCCAGGAATCTCAATGTTGGCTACCACAGTTGGTCTTTATCTTGTTCCTTTTTGCAAGACAGCAGTATTACTCACTGTCATGATGTGTGTCTTTGGTACTTCAATTGGCATTCTGGATACAGGTTAGTGAGCTCTTACAACATCATCTCTGGGAGTAGAGACTTTCTGCTAGAAGAAGTATAGCAGATGATATTCAGCTATCACTTGCAATGCCCCCTAAAATGACACATACCTACTGAGTTGGTCATGAGTCACTCAGAATGAATCACCCTTCTAGCAGCTCTTCTTACCAATTAAGGGGACTGTTTCTGAGCAGCCAACTCTGAAATGAACTTAAAGAATTTTGTTCTATGAGCGATAGTTGATTTACAGTGCCCAAACAGGGAAGGGCCCCCATGTGGGTAATTACAGTGCAGGTGAATAGGCTTTCATCTTGGGTAGAACTTTATCATGCTAGTATGGGAGGAATTGGTGGTTTAATAGGTTAAACCAAGTTTGGAACCGTTATTTGGCTGTGAAAGCATAGAAGCAGCAATCCAACTGGACATGTACCCTGACTTCCAAGCCAAGAGAGATCCATGGTGTGGACTAGGCTCTTTTTCTTTTCTGTCCCCAAAGTTCCTGCCCTCCTGCAGTAGATTCTTTCCCCCATTGTTATGTCTTTTAAAACCTACTAAATAACTGCCAGGTGGTTCACGCCTGTAATCCTAGCACTTTGGGAGGCTGTGGTGGGCAGATCACCTGAGGTCAGGAGTTCAAGACCAGCCTGACCAACATGGAGAAACCACATCTCTACTAAAAATACAAAATTAGCCAGGCGTGGTGGTGCGTGCCTGTAATCCCAGCTACTCGGGAGGCTGAGGCCAGAGAATTGCTTGAACCCAAGAGATGGAGGTTGTGGAGAGCCAAGATCATGCCATTGTACTCCAGCCTGGGTCTGAAAACAAACAAACAAACAAAAAACCTACTAAATAACATAGGTGACATTTGTTTACTCCCTAAAACCAGCTTTCTATCCCTCCTTTCCCTCCTCTGCTGTTACGTGATCTGTTGGGGAAATATTTTGTTTTACTTCGGGCTTAATGTGGTTATGAAATTATAGGGTAAAATTATTTATTTATCTGAAAATATCTGTTAAAAAAAAGAAAATAGCCCAAGATGTGCTGCTTCTTGCCTTTCTCCTTCTAGATATTTAGATAGTATAAAGTCAGATGCTAAACGGTGTCCTTGTTTCCTCTAATGGGCACACTAGAATCTTGGCGTATTCAGGTTCCTGGACGTGCGTTTTGCATCTGTTACATACGTAAGTAATTTTCCTCAAGTGGCTCCCAAGAGCAAGTACAGAAAGCTTTGGTAATCTGGCTACTAGCTGATGAGAAAATTTTGCCTTTTAAATGTATATTTAAAATATTAATAAATATATAAGTATTTCTTCCCCAGTCTGATGTTAGAACTTTATTATAAAAAGCCTCTTGCTAATGTGCTTGGCTCTAGGAGGTAGTAGTCTGCTAGACTGTAGAATTCGATTTGTGAGTATGTGATGTTATAATGCCTAGAGTTGTCCGATGGTAGTGGGTTAGAGTTCCTTACTCAGAATTGATTTAGTTGCAGTGTTTGATAATTAGAATATTATATGCTTGTGCTGTGTAAAATAGACTCACCCCTTTCTGATAAGTGACTTTTTTTTTTTTTTTTTTAAGATAAGTTACTGTGTCTAACTTAAATAGTTTTTTCTGTCTTTCATTGACAGGTGGTAACGTCCTTATCTTGGCTCTTTGGGGGGACAAAGGAGCCCCACATATGCAGGCCTTACACTTCTCTTTTGCCTTGGGTGCCTTTTTGGCTCCACTGCTAGCGAAACTGGCATTGGGTCCGACAGCGTCTGCTGAAAACTGCACAGAGTCTGATTTTCATCATCCTGCACTCAACCGATCATCTGAGGCTGACTCAGAAGCTCTGTTTGGAGTACCTAATGATACGAATTTACTGTGGGCTTATGCTGTTATTGGTACTTACATGTTCTTAGTTTCTGTCATTTTGTTTGGTCTGTTTTTCAAGAATAGCTCAAAGCAGGAAAAAACAAGAGCATCTGCTCAGACATCTCGAAGAGCAAAATATCACAACGCCCTTCTTTGTCTCCTTTTTCTGTTCTTCTTTTTTTATGTTGGAGCCGAGGTAACATATGGCTCTTATGTTTTCTCATTTGCAACCACCCATGCTGGCATGAAAGAAAGTGAAGCCGCTGGGTTGAACTCCATCTTCTGGGGGACATTTGCAGTCTGCAGGGGCCTGGCAATCTTTTTTGCTACCTGTTTACAGCCTGGAACCATGATTGTGTTGAGCAACATTGGCAGCCTGACTTCATCTTTATTTCTGGTGCTTTTTGACAAGAAGCCAATTTGTCTCTGGATAGCAACTGCGGTGTATGGGGCTTCAATGGCAACCACGTTTCCCAGTGGTATTTCTTGGATTGAGCAGTACACGACCATCCATGGGAAATCTGCAGCGTTTTTTGTAGTTGGTGCTGCCCTGGGAGAAATGGCTATTCCTGCAGTCATTGGAATTCTTCAAGGAAAATACCCTGATTTGCCTGTAGTTCTGTATACCTCTTTGGGAGCATCAATAGCCACTGGTGTTTTATTTCCTGTGCTATATAAATTAGCCACTTCACCTCTTGATCACCAGCGAAAAGAAAACAGAAAGAGTGAGGACCAGAAAGCTTTGCTTTCTAGCTCTGGGCTAAATGAATATGAGGAAGAGAATGAAGAGGAGGATGCAGAAAAATGGAATGAAATGGATTTTGAAATGATTGAAACGGATGATACAATGAGGCATTCTATAATAGAGACATCTAGAAGTAGTTCGACGGAGCCCACAGCTGAAATCTATAACCAGTATCCATCAAATGCACTGGTGTTTGAGTCCTCTCCTGTTAATACTGGCAGTTCCATATGAAGCACTTGCCAGAAACCAGGACAAAAGGGACTAACACTTAGAGAAGATGGATTACTCACTGACATCTTTGAATAATTGCCACTTCTAAGGAGGTCATTCAGAGCAGAGCATTAGCAGATTTTCACCATGCTTTGGGGATTAAAATTTTTAGGTCCAAATTGTAGCAAATGCTAAAAAGTTTTGAAATGTTCTGTAATTCCCAGAGTCTTCCATAAGTAACCAAATGGTCTCATACACATGCAATAGGATCTTGTTATAAGGCTGGTATTTCACGTGTGACTGATCAGGAAGTATTTTATGGTCTCCACCCCTCAGAGCACGCAAAGAAGGCATTTGTTTTTGAGAAGGTGGGTGTTGTTCTCATAGAATGAGACCATGTAGGAGTTGAGTTGATTGGTTGAACAAATTATCAGGTATCAATATTTTTCCAGGAAAGTTGAGAGTAGTTTCATAAAAGAGAAATGGAGAGAGACTTATTAATTGCTTTACCTTATCTGTAGGGTTGGATCAAAGAATGCTAATGACTCATTTGATTTCTCATTTCAATGAAGAGAACACAGAACAGGGCCCAAGGGGCCTGGCTTCAAGCCTTGACTCCTAGCCCTGCACTCTGTCATTTAACATAGGCCTTGTTTATCTGGCCTCCTGATCTGTGATTCTAGAAATGAAAATGAGATGATTTCCAAATTGGGAATCCATAAGTTTTAAAGTTTGTGCAAAATGTCTGCTAGAAATTAGTACAAGTGACAGTGCATTCTTCATTTCAAATGAAAAGTGAAACCAAAATGATAAATAGCTTTAAGAATGTGCTAATGATAAATGATTACATGTCAGTTTAATGTACTTAATGTTTAATAACTTATTTGAATAATTACCTGAAGAATATATTTTTTTAGTACTGCATTTCATTGACTCTAAGTTGCGCTTTTTGCCCCCATACTGTTAACATCTCTGAAATCAGGACATGTCTTGAAAGTAATCATTTAACATTGTGACAAAGTTTGATTGACAGTTTTTTCCCATATGTATAAAAAATAATGTGTTTTACAATCAGTGGCTTAGATTCAGTGAAATACAGTTATTTCATTCAATTATGGAGATGATACTATCTTTACAGACATTTTAAAAAGAAGTTATTTTTATATGCTAATATTCTCTGTTCAAATGGGATTTGGAGACACTGTGTTCTAATTTTAAGAGCTGTTTCAGTGTTACTAGATGAGTAGTAGGGCTGTCGATGGAGTCCTTTGAGGTCCTTTGCCTACCTTAGGAACAGAGGCTGGGTCTGAGCCTTGCTCAAGATTAGCTCTTCACCAGGTCTGGGTGGTAATCATATCACAGTTACTGTAAACCGCTCTGCAAGTGTAATTTACAGTGAGGCACAGCCTTTTCCAATGATTAGAATACTTGTGTCACCCATCCAGGCTTTCTCTTTCCTGAGTCTGAAATACCTGGGAAACCAATTAGAAGGTGACTTGGTGACCTAGAAGTCAAGGATCAGAAAGGGTACTTCATATGTATATGGCAGAATTGGTACAGGTGATCCTTTGAAAAATGACTAGAATTGATGCAATTTTGTTTACTTCCTCCAATTTTATGCTGAATAATTTCTCATTTCTACCTGATTGGAGTAGGCTTGCTTTCTTTTACTTAATTTCTATAAATTTGCCGTTGTTTTGTCTTAAGTAAAATACAGTGTCTTTCTTGACCATGGCCCATTCACCTTATATGCCTGCTACAGTCTTGGTTCATGTCATGACCTAACAGCTTTGGAGAGGGCGGTGACGTTAATGGTAAAAACCCTCTTGCTCTTTTTATTTTTTTTTATTTATTGGGGGTGGGGGACAGTGTCTCACTCACTCTGTCGCTCAGGCTGGAGGCAATCGCGTGATCTCAGAGCTCACTGCAACCTCTGCCTCCCTGGTTCAAGTGATTCTTCTGCCTCAGCCTCCTGAGTAGCTGGGATTACAGGCGTGCGCCACCATGCCCAGCTAATTTTTGTATTTTTAGTAGAGGGGGGTTTCACATGTTACCCAGGCTGATCTCAAACTCCTGATCTCAAGTGATCCGCCCACCTCAGCCTCCCAAAGTGTTGAGATTGCAGGCATGAGCCACTGTGCCCGGCCCTTTTGCTCTTTGTATGGTGTACTTTTCCCTTAGTTAGAACTTGGAAATTACTTCTGCTTCACTTAATGCTTTTTCTCCGGTTGTTGGAATCTAGGCAGGAGCAGTTACTTGGCAGCTAGGTGGCTTGCTAGAATAGGAATTCCACCTTCTGCATTTACTGTTACAGGGTAGAAGATGCAGCTCAGGAAGAGAAGGATGATAAGAACATGGCAGAAAATCTCAAAATCCACACTGGAAAATTCACTATGGTTCCACAAACCAAAATGTGAATGGTCCTATGAGATCATAGGCATTGTTAAAGTTCCATATTGGAAGGAAAAGACTTAGTGCAATTCTAAGAGTTAGCGTTCAGTTCTTAGGTAAGTGTCTGCTGATACCTAAGTAATTAATACCCAAGTGTTCTATTGCTGGGTAACACATTACCACAAATTGAACACCTTAAAACAACAGACATTTACCGTCTCACAGGGGCTGCTTCTGTACAGGACCTTACTCTTGTAGACTGAGGTCCGTGTTTCTTGCTGACTCTCAGCTGGGCACCGCTCAACTTCGGGAGGCCTCCCACAGTTCTTGTCATGTGGCCCTCTCACAGATGCCTCTCACAACATGGCAGTTTCTTCAAAGCAAGCAGGAGAATCTCTAAATGAGTGTTGTATGACGTTATGTCATTATGGGAATAACATCCCATCACCTTTGCCGTATTCTAGTGTCTAGAAGCAAGGTATGAGTTCCACCCAAACTCAAGGGTAGAGGCTAGAACACAGATGTGACTCACTGGGGGTCACCTTAGAGCGTGCCTGCCATACACAGGTACCTGCAAAATAGAGATTCTCAAAAGAGCTAAAAACTGAGCTAAGAGCAGGACATGACGGCTCACACCTGTAATCCCAGCTACTCAGTTTCTTGAGCAGCTGGGACTACAGTTGCATGCCACCTTACGTGGCTTTTTTTTTTTTTTTTTCTTCTCAGAGACAGGGTCTCATTTTGTTGCCCAGGCTGGTCTTAAACTCCTGGCTTCAAGCAATCCTTCCGCCTCAGCCTCCCAAATGCTAGGATTACAGGTGTGAGCCACCATACCCCACCCTGTGACTATTCTTGTATATTGCTCTTATGTCTTCCTTTGCTTGGATTTTTAATTGCAGAATGTGTTTAGTAGATTCTGTAAATTTATTGCAGCTTGCCTTTAATACATTTGGCTATGATTTAGTTAACGGGTGGCCTGGAGGAATGTTTTGAAGTTAGATGACAGGGGCCGGCTTTTAGCTCAGAATAACTTTTTTTTTTTTTTTTTTTTAGATAGAGTCTTGCTCTGTCGCCCAGGCTGGAGTGCAATGGCAGGATCTTGGCTTACTGCAACCTCCGGCTCCTGGGTTCAAGCGATTCTCCTGCCTTAGCCTCCCGAGTAGCTGGGATTACAGGTGTGCGCCACCACACCCAGCTAATTTTTGTATTTTTAGTGAACACGGGGTTTCACCATGTGGGTCAGGCTGGTCTTGAACTCCTGACCCCGTGATCTGCCTGCCTCGGCCTCCCAAAGTGCTGGGATCACGGGTGTGAGCCATTGCTCCCGGTCAGCTCAGAACAACTTGTTGAGATTATATGATGCTTTTCCAATAAAAATTACTTAATTTTGATAAAATATACTTAATGGAAAGCGTACCTTTTAACATTTTAAATTGTACAGTTGAGTGGCATTGAGTATAATATTCACATTGTTGTACAACCATCACTACCATTCATCCACAGAACGTTTTCTACCTTGCAAAACTGAAACTCTGTGCCATTAAACAATAACTGCCATTCTACGCCCCCATCCCAGGCCTTGGCAACCACCATTCTACTTTGTCTGTCTATGAATTTGACTACTCAGAGTACTTCATGTAAGTGGGATCATACAGTTTTTGTCCTTTCATTACTAGCTTCTTTCACTTAACATAATGTCTTCAAAGATCATCCTTATTGTAGCATGTGTTAGAATTTCTTTCCTTTTTAAGTCTGTATGATACACCATTGTATATACATACTACATTTTGTTTATTCATCTGTCAATGGACATTTGTGTTGCTTCTACATTTTGGCTGTTGTTAATACGCTGCTGTGAACATGGGTGTACAACTTTCTCTTGGAGATCTTGTTTTCAGGTCTTTTGAGATATATACCCATAAGTGGAATTGGTGGATCTTATGGTAATTTTGTTTTTAATATTTTGTTGTGTTTGTGTTTTTTGTCTTAGATTTTTTTCCTTAAGTTTTTCCAGAAGAGAGCAGCTTTAGGAAGAGAATAGAGAAACACATACTTTTAAAGTACTATCTCAGACTTTAGGCCCATTATGATCATGTCAGTAGCACCCATGTACTGAATAAGTGAACTCAAAGAAAGGTTATGTCGGGCAACTACCTCAAAGTTTTGTTATCTCTGCTTGCAATTTTTGTTTAGTCATTGAACAAGGGCTTGAGGGCTTACTGCATGTGAGCTCTGTAGACTAAGTATTAATTAACTTTCTTTTTTGTCCTTGCAGTAGCAGGTACAGCTTTGATCTTAGTTTTCTGCCAAATGAATTGTTCTGTGTTTTGTGCTCATTCATTTACAAACAGAGATCCTTCTGACCACCTTGGAACCAGAAGGTGTATGGTCAGAGAACTATAAATGGGCTGCTCTCTGCCTCTCTCACAGCAGTTCTGCCCCTCCTTGGGACCACTTGTTTTCTGCATTCCTGGCCCATCCTCTGTGTATCTCTGGTCCCAATTCCAGAGGAAACCTGTTTGACTTGAGTAGATGCCATTGCCCTTATTGGGCCTTGCCTCAGGAGTTGCTGGTTAGCCTATGAAGGGGTTCCCTTTGGGTTGATGACATTGCTCCCATCCAGAAAGTGGCTACTTCTACCCTCCTACTCCCACCACTCTGTTGATGAGCTGTTATCATCAAAAGAGAATTTCCACTGTCTGCTCTGTACCAGAGAAGTGCTAGGCTTCATAAATATTGGTAATGGATGTCTGAATGGGATGCAAGTTGGCAGGCCCTGGGATGGATGGCCTGGTTCATCTGCATCAGAACTGGAAAAACAAAATCACACCAAATTGCAGACTTTTTTGGAAGAGCATATTAGACAAGGTTTGTGGACTGTTTGATTTTTACCAAGAAAGAAAGCTTTCTCCTAAGAGGGTAAGATTTCTACTTGAGTGAACTCTTAAGAGGAGTCCCAATTTGCAAGAGATATTATTACAGTTCTCATCTGTGTGGACCAGAAAGTTTTCCAAGTCCATGCATTTCAGTTACCTAACAGATATTTACTGAGCATTTACCGTGTTCAGTAACCAGGGCCCTGGGAATGCAACAGGAGAAGGCAGATAAGATCCTTGCCTTCACCAAGCTTATGTTTTTCTATTTCAAGTAAAATTTGCCATGACAAAATTCCTGTCAGCAGAAGAGCCAGTAGTTCTTACTGTACTAGGTTTTGCCCAGTTTTAGACACGGAAAGTAGCGAAACTCTTGGCTCCTTGGTGTGTGTGTTTTGTTTGTCCATTTCTAGTGCTTGTATATGTCTCGGGGGTAATTTTTGATTTAGAGTTTTGTAGAAATTACTTGGAACCATGTAGTTGAGGTGAATATAGGTAAGAAGGCTTAAGAAGCCTACAACAAAGGAGTCTGACACCAACTTTTGAGATTTATTCAGTGCAGCCAAGAGAATATTATTTATGGTCAAACTAGATCTTGGATTGCAGTTCCAAAGACCCTTGGGCTGACAGAGCAGGTTCTTATTTCTTAGCCCTTTCCCTTGTCACTTGCAGTGAACTCTGCCCCCAGGAGCAGAGTATCCAGTTCTGTGTCCAAGCACTCTATGAATCTTTACCCTTGTTGAAGAAACACTCAGAGACAGAAGCATTTAGAAAAGGAAAAGTTTACCTGCAAAGAGAGCAAGAGAATGACTGGCTTGCCAAATAAAAAACGTAAGTATTTGAAGGAAAAAATTAAAAACCACCAAGGTTTCTGAGTTTGCATTAGACTGTTCATGGTGGAAAAACAGTAACTGCCTCACGTAATTATTATATTCACAAAGGTATGGCAAATCTTCAGACGTAGTACAGCAAAAACCAAGGATAAAATTTCTTAGGGAGTCCGGGTTTACGGGAAACATTCAAGGTTTTATTGTTTTTTAGATCAGAAACAGTTAGATTCTTATCTATCATTTTTGTTTTGTCTCAGGGTGCAGAGTCTTTCTTTTCTGTTGGTGATTGATACAGTTTGGCTGTGTCCCCACCAAAATCTCATCCTCAATTCCCGTGTGTTGTTGGAGGGACCTGGTGGGAGGTAACTGAATCATGGGAGCAGGTCTTTCCCGTGCTGTTCCTGTGATAGAGATCTGATGGTTATTATAAGGGGGAGTTTTCCTGCACAAGCCCTCTTTTTGCCTGCTGCCATCATATAAGATGTGAATTGCTGCTTCTTGCCTTCCGCCATGGTTGTGAAGCCTCCCCAGCCATGTGGAACTGTAAGTCCAATAACCTCTTTTGTAAATTACCTAGTCTCAGGTCTGTCTTTATCAACAGCATGAAAACACACTAATACAGTGATATAGGAAGG